TCTGAATTTCTGAATTTCTGAATTTCTGAATTTCTGAGTTTCTGAATTTCTGAATTTCTGAATTTCTGAATTTCTGAATTTCTGAATTTCTGAATTTCTGAATTTCTGAGTTTCTGAATTTCTGAATTTCTGAATTTCTGAATTTCTGAATTTCGGAATTTCTGAATTTCTGAATTTCTGAATAGGTGTTTCTGAATATTTCTGAATTATTTCTGAATATTTCTGAATAAGTAGGTGGATCCGTGGAGGCTAGTTAGTTCTCTCTGCAAATTAATTAAATTTGGAGAAACTTAAAAACCATTATACCTTCAAAACGTCTCTTTCAACTCTTTCTTGAGCTTTTGTAACTTTTTCAAATAGAGAATTTCAGAGTTTTCAATTTTGAAATTGGTTCTCTTATGGAATCCAAAAACTTGGCAAATTTCTTTTCATCCATTTAAATGCATTTCCCATTTTTTCTGGATTAAAAGACATTGGAAGAATGCCAAGTTCATTCTTCTGATCTCCAAAACCGCCAACTTCAAAACTCCGAGAGGAGTCCAGCAATGAGAATTTCAAAGTTTTTATTGGAAAACCCAAAGTTTATAATTCCGGATCTTCATTGAGAATTTCGAAAATTTATTGATTTTCTCTCGATTTTTTTGTTTGTGAATCTTTTTTTTCTTGTTCTCCTGATTGAATTTTTCAGAATTTTAGAATTTCTGAGTTCCTTAATTCCTGAGTTTCTGAAAATTTGAAATGACAAATTTCGCAATAATCACCCATCACTGATATCATCACTAAAATGTTCTTATCAATTTTTTGCCGCAGTAAAAACTTTTTTCTTCTTTCTCACTTTTTGCAAAAATCATGTTTTTCGAATGCCTAATTCTACTTCTAGCTGTATATTTTCTGTTACCACGAAGGGTAATTTTTTACGAAATAAAAATTTTTAATTTGAAAATTTCAAATTTTCAGAGAGAACGAATTCCAAGAAAAAGCTTGAAAGGGCTTGTGAGGTTTGTGGTTGAAAAGTTCAAAGATAAAAGTAAGCTTTCAATTTTAAAAAATAAAGCTAACGAAATTTAAAAAAAAAAAAAATTCAGAAAATTGCGAATCTGAAAATTTGGCTGAAAACTTGGCTGAAAATTCCCCCTATTGCTGTGATTCATGTATAAAATTGATAAGGAGGTTCGATCGATTTTGTACAATTTTTCAATTGGGAAATTTTGCTATTCCGGTGAGTCATAATTTAAAGAAACTCAGAAATTCAGAAATTCAGAAATTCAGAAATTCAGAAATTCAGAAATTCAGAAATTCATAAAATCAGAAATTCAGAAATTCCGAAATTCAGAAATTCTGAAATTCAGAAATTCAGAAATTCAGAAATTCAGAAATTCAGAAATTCAGAAATTCAGAAATTCAGAAATTCAGAAATTCAGAAATTCAGAAATTCAGAAATTCAGAAATTCAGAAATTCAGAAATTCAGAAATTCAGAAATTCAGAAATTCAGAAATTCAGGAAATTCAGAAATTCAGAAATTCAGACATTCAGAAATTCAGAAATTCAGAAATT